CACACACACACACACACACACACACACACACACACAAGCGCAGACACACGTATACACACACCCACCACCACCCACCCACACGCTGACACGCACGCACACACAACCCTGGCATTCTTAACCTTCACCTTCAGCCTTATCTCACCACCTTGGTTTTAAATATTGTACATTTCTTCAAGAATCCCTCACACACACACACACACACATACACACACACACACACACACACACACACACACACAAACACACACACACACACACACAGGTTGTTGGCTGCTACCTTCCCCAGGCCAGCCCACCGAGCAAGCATTCATTTGCGCACGCAGCGCCGGGCAAGTCAGGAAACGTTTGGAGGTCCACCTGGTAATTACGCTCGGCACCGGCTCGACACTTTTTAGCAGCGCTCCTCTCTCAAAGACGTTGGCGCTTTGATTTTCAAATATCAGTCATTAGGGCTCCTCCAAGGAGATCATTTGGGGTCCAAAGGCTCCCATGAAGTCTCGCACTTGAAAGCGCGGAGGTGAGGTTGTGGGAAAGGATGAGAATTAAACAAAAATAGTAATGTTTTTTTTTTTATATGATTGCAAAATCACTCTCACCTGACGACACAATTATATGTTTGAGTGAACTCACTGATCCACCCACCCCAGGAAGTTAATTCAGCACAAGCTCGGAATTTGAGATGGGAAAGGGAGCCAACGCGAAAGTCTCGGAGTTCTAGTCAGCACTTGGGCAGCAGCAGCATTTTGAACCCGATGACTTTTAGTCTTTCTTTCCGGTAAGATGTCGCGTTAGGTTTGACAGTGCAGCCGCCATCCATCCGCCCTTCAATCCATCCATTTTTTTCCCTCCTCCCATTCATTATCCACCCTTCGTCCGTCGGTCTTTTAATTGACCCGTCCTTTTTTTTTCCCCCTCCTCCCTCTTTTCGTCCATCCTTCAATTCACCCTGACATCTTTCATGCCTCCTTTCATTATGCCCTCATCCCTTAATCCACCCATCCGTCAGACTGTCCTTTCGCCCGTTCTTCATTTTCTGTCCCTCCGTCCTTCCGTCCGTCCACCCTTCGACTCGATTCACACATTCATCAATCCGTCCGTTTTCGCTTCCTCTTGTTTACTGTCCGCCCTCCGTTCAACAGACTGCAGTCCGGCCGTCCGTCACCCGTCTTCACGTTCTTCCAGCCAGTCGTCGACCGTTCATCTCCCTGACTTCCATCTACTCATCCAACCATCCATC